TCACAGAGCTGTCAGAACGGGATATTCCAGACTTTGACGGATCCATATAATCCCGTGTGACGGCAGGTACGGGATTAGCGGGCTTTCGGCGTGCCGCATGTGAGACAGATCCCATAGGCGACCATTCGGGGAAGTCAGGTGGTAAGTCTTCTTGAACCCAAAATAAGCCTTTTATGGGTAGGAGGATGCAGGATGCTGATAGCTTCGGTGGGTTGGGTCGTCTCTGCTCCTGTTCTTCGGTGACCGAATAAGAGAACTGAGAGTTGTCTGACATTCCAGCATCCCTGTCGGATAATGACGTTTGATCCCACGTGGAATCCAAAGAGGCACGGTCATCCGACTGCACCGAATGGTCGGTGTGCTTGATAGCTGTTTTGACGGGAGCTGCTCTAGAAGGCTGAAAAAATGGTGGATACAACGGAAGGAGGTACACACTTAGAGAGGATTAGATGAACAGACGGTTACACCAGTTTGCAATAAATCGCGTGAAAAAGGAGGTCGTATCATAGTCCCAAGATGTGAAATTCCAAATTCCTCCACATGGGAAGGAAATTGCTGAGAGAAAGATCGGTGACTTGGTGGGTCTACCTACCTGCAACACACAGAGAGACTGATACAGACCATCAGACTCATCATACAGACTAAACATTTCTGAAAAAATTACACAACATGACGGTAACAGTAAGTAACACTGGGATATTAGGCTTTGGTTACTTTTGATCACTTACAGGAGTTTCAGATGCAAACATAAACGGCTTTTGGGCAAATTGTCGACTGCATCTTTAATCTTAGCATTTCTACTCAGACCGCTTGGAAACTGGCGAACGAAACGAATCAAAATAGTGAAGAAATTTCCCCGAAAACCGATTTCGGTCATTCCTTACACCCACGCCCTAACACAACCACACATTCGATTCAAGATTACATTGTCCTTTGAGGGTCCGTATTCCTCTCATACGCTCTACAAGTTCGATCAAATTGAGTCCGTAAGCCCCAAGTGTTTGTTTCGCTCTTCGCTGCAGGAAGCTCTCACGTCTGTCTTCCTTATATATATACTCCGAAGCCGATCATCCGCATGACATCAGTGTTCAACACTGATACTTCGCTGCCACACAACCATGATTTATTTGAAAGCCATATTGTGGAGAAAAGAATAAAGGTGGTCGGGAAGGGAATTAGAGCCAGCTTACCACAATCGTTCCAAGGTGACTACACCTCCAGACATTCACTCAGGCAATCTGGATAGAAACTGAAAACAAGAACGCCACTGACATCGGTTGGCAGCCATATATTGTAG